GTTCAGATTTGAATACCCTTTGTTCTTGCCTACTTACACTAGTAACAATATTTGGCACATACATTTGAGAACAAATCCAGGCTAAGGCCTAAGTGTTTGGTCTAAATCAAGCTTAGCAAATGAACACAATCTAGACCACAAGTTCTGATTCTTACGGATACTAGGACCTTGGCTTTCCCAAACATATCTCGTGCATTCTTGATTTCTTGCTACAGACTAATTGTGTTTGGAACTTTGGATCAAGAACCAGTTATTACATTTTTGGCAATTCTTCCAATTATATAGTCTATTATTCATTTCAAACAACAACTATTGATTATGGTTCAAAGGTAAGGCCATTCCAATTCGAAAAGTCACACTTTTTGCATCTTTACCGTTGTCATATGTCCTAATATTCCAGGTTAACCTTTCAAACTTGAACGAGTTCAATCGGAAAAAGGTTTGTGTAAAGAAACAATACAGATTTGCTATGTAGAGGGAGTGTTAGGAAGGTGTGAAAACTCACATGTTGACTGAAAAGCAACACCACCCTATTTTATACTCTCCGCACTACATTCCTAGGGAAACACTTCAGCTTTTCGCATCACCAGACAACTCGTTAAGTTTACAAGTACACAATGCATATTCCAATAGGTTAGCAATAATATATTCTCTTTGGACACTGACTACAGGTGTGCAAATGAAGAAATCATAATAGAAGGTAGTGTAATGAGTAATCAGTCTAATCACACATCATCTTTGTAAATAAACACCTATACCTGAATGTCCCCGTGTAATTTCCATATGCATGAGATATTACCGGCTAGCGATGTACATGCTACAGCCACCTTAGATGCCTCCTAAAAGAGTTTAAATTTAGACTTCAGAAAATCATAAAACCTGTTGAAGATCAGAAAAACAGAAGAGGCACCGCTGAAGTCCTTGAGAAGAAAGATTGTTATGTATGTCCAACCTCTAACAAAGAAGCCCCCCATCTAAATGCCCCAGAGCTTACGCATTCCTTTGCAAAACAAAAAATTGCAGATGCAAGGCCATAATGAGAAGATACATTGAAAGGCGAGATTCGGATGGCTTGGCGGAACAGCTCAATTCCCTTTGTTCAGAAACATAATGAAAAGAGAGACAACAGAAATAACAGAAAAAGACCGTAAAGTTAGAAGCTGAAGATATGAAACAACAAAATGGATTGGTGCAAGTTCAAGGATTTACTTGCATAGTTTCATATTTAGTTTAAATGTGTTTAAAATTTTCATCTAAGGCCACATCTATGCTACTACGAGTCTACAAGCATGCTTTTGCAGCACAAGTTCACAAATGCATGTTGTTTTCTTAAATTCTAAAATGAAAAAATGCAGTTATGCTGTTTCCAAAACATAATCACAATTTACCAGTGAGCCCAGAACGTTAGTAAAGAAGAATTATCAAAATCAAAAGAGAAGTTCAACCTAGAACAAATATCGCAGCCAACACACAGCTCATTCTAAGAGTTCTCACCATATGTTGAGAAAAGTAAATGAGTACAACAAAAACTGCTATTTCAAAAAAAAAAAAATAAGACGATAAAGAGACATTTTACCTTCCTAAAGTTTCCCAGGATCAAAAATATATTCCCACTTTCAACCAAAGCAAAAACTCTTGATTCGTCTAACTCAATTGCTCGTCCATATGACTGTTCCAAAAAAATAAGCAACGTAAGATATTCTAAGCTCAGTCTATATCTCCCAAAATTGTCCTCCATAAAAATGAAGTTGCATCAACCACACAACCTTCACAATGCCTTGAGCACACTGAAAGCACTATTCACATTTTAAAAAACTCCTATGATACTATATTTAGAAAAAGATATGTAATACTCAATGAAACAATGTGTTGTTATATGAACAGTTGATCACGCAATGCTAACGACAAATTTTTTGACTCGTGTCCATAGAGGTGGTCATGAAATAGATACAACGTAATAAGATTTAGAATGGGATGCAACTACACAAGTTAGAAGTGTCTATCAAGCTCCAACAATGTTTGACATCCTGCAATTGAATTTATTTTTGACATCTTGCAATTGAATTAGATAATTGAAACATGGGACACATAGTGCAGGAATGCATTCGTGCATCTTATGGCCCATAGATCATATTCATGGTTCCCCTTTTTTTATTTTTGCTTTAATGTTCTAAAAGTGATATATCTGTGTGTGACTATTCTGACCGGGGTAGCACAACTTCCCTACTGGGTCGCTATTGAAGCGGTGTGTATGGGGGTGAGAGAGAGAGAGAGAGAAAGTGAGAGCTATTGGTATCAAGGTTTTGTAGTTCTTAGAGCACTGGTATTTCATAGAAATCCTTGAAATTAATTTTAGAATGAAAACCTAATCCAAACCAAACAGTTTGCATATCTTTGACTTAATCATTATCTAATAAAAATGTAACAGATAAATTTTCATAGAAAGAAAAATGATGAAAACAAATAATCACCTTAGCAGCAGCAGTGAACATACCCATCTGCTGGTAGGAAAGACCTAGTGCCTGAAAAGGAAGAAAGGCAGCCATGAAGCTTGATCACTTGGTAGACTGGAACACACTAGAAGAAAAATAGATTGAAAAGGTGAAGAGTAAAAACGACCTCCCACAAATCAGTACATGTGGGATAACCTCTTATAGCATGCTGAAGGCTGGGTATTGCATCAGCCCATTTTTGTTGGTGGACCTGAAAGAAACAAAGCAATAAGGAGGAGACCGGGATTTGATCAAGCAAACAGATATAGAATCAATATTCACCAGAAGGTAACCAAGTCTGCTAAAAGCCCAAAAGGCACGGGGTGACTTTTCGGATGCCTCTCGACACACAGCTATCTCCAGGTTCTCCTTTCCAGTTTCCTCTAGTACTTCACACATAGCTTCCTGCATTCATATTGAGAATTTTCTTTCCTGTGAATATTGAATATCTTACCCAAATATCGGTAAAGGCAGGGTTTAAAATTCACCCCAGCATCAGAATCATCAGGGTTGAGACAAATGGCTCGCTGGTAGCACTTCAAAGCCCTCTGAGGATCAGAGGCAAAGCTGGCATAATAATGACCCAGATACCGAAAAGGAACTCCGTTGTGGGGGTTGAGTTTTGCAGATATGAGAAACTGCTCTGCGGCTTTCCCCCTGGTCTCTTCATCTCCAGTGCTGCTGGCAGCCTTCTCCCACAGAAGCAGCCCCAGATCAAAATGGAGACAAGGATCATCTGGCTGAGACTGTAAACTTTCTTCAAGCTCTAGCTCCCTCTGTTTTGTAGCACTAGAAGCTTCTTCTCCCGTCTGTCTCATGGAAGAAAAAAGCATACAAAAATGCAATGATACTCGCATTCAATTAAGCAAATATTGTGAAAGAGATGGTAAACGATTAGCATGATCACCATATTTCGCACTTTTGCTCCCCAACGCGACTTTCAGGCTTACTGGAGCTTTGAGATCACCGTGGAAAGATGCGCAGCGGGAGTAATGTAGTGCGGTAAAATGGTTAGAAAGAGAGTGGTGAATCCCGTGACGGAGACGGGAGGGAACTCCGAGTGCGTTTGTCAGATACTGTGATGATTGTGGGAATTGAGCTTGCTTGCTTTCCGATCTACCGGTTAGGGTTATTTGCCTGTTCAACCCCCAGGGCGCCGTTTATCAGAGCTTAGCGGTCCGTTAAAAGGTTTTCTTCCCCGTTCTTTCCTTCAGCTTTTTCATTTCTTTCTTTTCCTTATTTTGTTACTTCTTTTCTTTATTTTGTTACGGGAGTACTTAGGATGTATGCGAAGACAAATACTACCTCCGTCCCGCTATATTTGTCACTCATCAAATTCTCTCAATGTGTAAGCTTAAATATAGTCATGTGTGATCTTGTTTGATTTGTCTTAACATATAGATTATTAATATATAATTTTTATAATTTTTTAATATACAAATTACAAGATAAAATAGAATAAAGAAGTGCATTGGATGGTGTGCAAAAATGAAAGTGGACAAATACTTTGGGACGGAGGGAGTAATTAGATTGCTACATGAATAAATAAGCAAATTATGGGTCTTTGCATAAATCTTAATAAGAATAAAAGTGAACAATCAAAGGATACAAAAAAAACTTTCATCTTTAAAAGATTGATCTACTGTCCTTTTAAAAAAAAATTTAAAATCAATTGTTTCACTTGTTTTTTTTTTGTTGATAAATATGATTTTATCAAATGACAAATGAACATGTTATTTCATCTTCTCTTCTCACTATACCTATTTTCATTTTCTTTTCCCTACTTTTCCATCTTCAATCTAAAAATGCAATAGCTCTTCTCTTAGAAAATGAGAAAATCAAATAAGAGCATATTTAGAAGATCAATTATGAAAGTCCAAACCTCTAAGAGGGAAAAGTAACTACTTTTTAGAAGATCAATTATAGATTTTGAAAGAAAGAAAAGTGAACTATCAAATTGGGGGTAGACTCAAAGGATCGACGGTCTCGGCAATGGCGACACCACTGCAGCGGCGGCGGTGGCTTATCTTCCTTTCGCGGTGGCGCTGTGATCGCAATGGAGAAGGGGGCAGCATAAAAAAAAACAAGAGACGAAAGAACGAGGGGTAATAGGGATTCGTCAAGTACCATACCGTCTACATACAAGAATAACTATGTAACACACACTAAAGGTGAAATGAATCATTTTATAATTTTAAAAAGATGAAGTGACGTAAAATATTTCATTCATGACTCTAACTTTCAGTTCACTTGGCAATAATTGAGTGGAGGGAGATCTTTGCCCTTTCATTTGCAAAGGTAACGTCAAAATGCCCATCTCAATAATCTTATTTTGAATTTAGAACAAGATATTTAACATTTTTTTATAGACAAGTAAGCAATTTTTACAGATACATAATACCCCGGAGTACATTTCATACTCCGATGTAAGAGACGGTGTGAATGTAAACGTCAAATATGAAGCTGATAGCTTTTTGTCTTTTTTTTTTAAGTAGCCCGGCCGGAGTAAAATATAGGAGCTAGCTTAGCACACACATGATTGGCCTAGTTTTGGTCGGCGCCAAAAAGGGGCGCCAGATGCGGTTTAATCGCCGTCTACACTGTGCCAGTGGGCGGGCGCGCGGTCCACGTACTCTTGTCTTCTAACAAGGCTAATTCCCGGGCCCATCAAGAATGGATGAATAACTGATATGGATAGATGAAAGTGCAGGCTAGGCCGGGCAAGATATATGGATCTATATACATACATATCAATGAGGACGACGACCCAGAACCGATCCCTCGTTAATGGTCACCAGTCTGTGCCTGAAGGTTCGAATTCCCGCCATTTTTACCCGCCGAGACGACGACGAATACCTTTGCAGCTTCGTTATCGCCGCCGATGAAGAACTATTATTACTAGTGCTGCTGCCGCCAGTAGTACTGCTGCTAGTAACGACTGTCGTAGATTCGCTGCCGCCGCCGGTTAAGGGCGAAATTCTGCTGGTTTTAGCGCGAATCCGGGTGCTCTTGAGGGCGGCGCTGGCGGTGACTGCGAGAGCGGCCATGTCGGATGCGGCGAGGCGGTGTTGGAGCTTGCCGGCGGGGAGGACGAAGTAGATCTGACCAGCCTCCAGCTCCTCCTCCGCATCCATCGCGGGTATGTGCTCGTCGAAATAGAGGCGGTCGGAGTTGCACAGGAAGAAAGACGCCGCCGCGGAGCCGGAGAACATTAGTAGTACTTGGGAGGCCTTCACGGGAACAAAGAACTGGCGGAGTTCACCGTTGGACAGAATCACGTCGGCGGCGGCGGAGCTGCGACGACGAGTTCCCGACGACGAGGAGAAGGAGATACAGCTTCCCATTTGATTTTTAAATTAACCCTGTATATGGTCTATGTGTAGGCTGCAGATTGATGTTTATATAAATGATGAGTGAGAGACGCCAGTGGACGCGAACAGCATATATATACAGCTTCCGGTCCTGCTTTTGTGACGCACGCAATGTCGTCACTGGCCGCACCGGCCGAACGTCACCTTAGGAAGTACTTCCTCCGTTCGCAAGCCTTTTCTATCTAACAATTTTTAATCTTTGATAAAAATATTTTAAAAATATATATTACAGTATATATTAATTAGATAAATTAATATTTTAAAAATGTTATATAAAATTATTGTATTAAATATTTTGAAAATATTATATTTTCAAGTGAGATTTTTACAAAAGAGGAAACATGGGACAGTCCTTCAGAGTGGGATTGAGTGTAGTTTCTAGTTCTTTTTCAATGCTATCAAGAGTCCCACGAGTTGATTAGGATGAAACTCGAACTCAATTTGGTATGCATTGGTCTTACTTTTAGAATACATAAAATATTAATAATTGTTGTAATTTTTCTTTAGAGTGTTAATTTCAAAATGGGAAATGATGTATACTCTACTTTTTAATACTACCTCCGTCCCGTGAAACATTTCCCCTTTCTTTTTTTATTCGTCCCACAAAACACTTCTCATTTTTATTAAAAAGTCACTTTTACCCCTTACTTTTTCATACTCTAACTATCACATCATACCTTTTTACTAATAATCTATCCATCAAATCATACTTTTACCCATCACATCAAAGGACATTTTTGGAAATTCAATACCAAAATATACTCCCTTAAATCCCTCCTAAAAAGCAAATGTCCCATGTTTCACGGGACGGAGGTAGTATCTTTTACTATTGGGACTCCAAAATGACTTTTAATGTGATGGATGAATAGTAATACTTTGAAGTTAGAATATCATTTCATTTTCAAAATATATAAAATACTTGTAACAATTAAATTTTAGTAGAGCAAGTTTCATTTTTTAAGACTAAAGTTCTATTACAATTGTAATTTCTATTCAAACATACTTTCTTCACACGCCAAAGCATCGACTGCTATTGAATTTTTCCATAGTCCTAAGGTCCAAGTGTGAAGTGTGAATTTTTCACACTTTTAATGGACTGGCAAGTGAGTTTTTTTGTAAAAGATCCAATTTTTATAATAGCACTAATGGTAAAATTCTACTGGAGATTAAAACTCGTAACCTCCTATTTTGAAGAGTCATTTTGACGTTATTGCAACTCAAGGTCTTTGATAAAATTTTACAATTAATTACTCCTTATATACTAATAGTGTTACATTTCCAAAAAGGCAAATTCTTATTTAATTATTAGATCCCTACTCATTTTATAGATATGAGTACATGTAAAAATTGAAATTTTTGTAAAAAAATAAAATACTTGTAAGCACAAAAAAAAAGTTTTAGAAAAATTCACAATTCTTATGTGAACTTTAGAATGATAAAGTCTTTCAAAGGTGAGAGTAACAAACTCGTTGGTAGTAAACAGTACCGCACATTTTTAATTTACTCCCTCCGTCCTAAAACTATCTTCCCACTTTTCTTTTTTCTCCGTCCTAAAACTATCTTCCCACTTCTTAATAAAAGATGTAAAAATACTATATTACCCCTTAACCCCTCAATTGTTTCCATCCCGTCTCCCTCCCGTCTCTTCTTTCTCCCTCTTCCTCCATCTCTCTTCTCTCTCCCTCTTCCTCCATCTCTCCTTCCTCTCACTTTCTCCATCTCTCTTCCCTCTCATTCTCAATTAATCTTCATCTTTCCTCTTTAGATTTAAACATCTCGGTCTCTCATCCCTCTCCTTTCTTCGCCTCTTTCTCAAGATCATAGATCTAGATCTGAAATTTGGTTCCCAAATTTCAGATCTAGATTTAAAATTCGGTTCCCAAATGTCAGCCCTTTGCCGATGTACTCCAAAGACCATAGACAGAGATCAACGGAGACCACAACCCTTTGGTTAGTATTTTTAGTTTTCTTTTTTCAATTTTCTGAAAATTCTCTGTCCGGTTCAACGAGGCCATCGGCTCCCCCGTAGCAGACTCTCTCAATCGTCCCCGCCGGCACAGTTTCCCGGATCTTCGAGTTCAACGAGGCCATCGGCTCCCCCGTAGCAAAGTCATGACCCGGCCCATCTCTTCTTCTCTGCGTTGCACCCCCTCTTCTCAACCAGTCTCGGGCCGATTCCGGCTGCCCAGAGCGCTGGCGGCCGATCTGCCCAGAGCGCTGGCGCCGGCGGCCGATCCTTCACCATCGCGTGGTGGAAGCCGTGGAACTGCCCGATCTGGTCCCGGAAAATCACTCCGATGGAGGATTGCTTCGAATCCAGCGATGTGGTGGTCGACGCCAGAAGAACAGTAGATCCACCGCGCTGTGGCGGCGGCCGGAGTTGTCGAAGGTTGACGCGCCGATCTTGGTGCCAAGAACGTGGTGCAGGTTGATTCGGGCTTCCAGCAAACCGTCCGATTTCATTACATTTTTACAAAGGGCAAAATGGGAAATCAAAGATTAAAATATAAATTCCTTAAAAATGAGAAAAAGTCAATGTGGGAAGGTCAAATTAGAACGGAGGGAGTAATTAAAGTCAAAGATTCCTTCCTATCCTCCCACGATCTAGACTAGACTTGGAGCACAAGCATGACAGCCGTCCTACTAGAAACTTGGACATCTACATTCAACCCTAGTATTTTCAACTCTTTCCCCACGGACCAGTTTTACTATTCCTAGACCTTATTTGGGAACATCATTTTCAATAAACATTAATATTTTGGATAAAATTTTAATAATGTAGATTAATTCTAAAAACACAAACGATACAAGCTACCATCAAGTCTTTTCAAAACGCCAATGCTAACCTCTAACACCGATACCAAACGGGATTATTTTATTTTTTGGAAACTTTATAACTCAATTTGCAGAAAAGACAATCACTGCATTTCAATTCAAACAGGGAGTAGCCAGCCTGACCAGAATGACTAACGTGTGATATTTTTAAAAAGTGATAAATAAATAAATAAATACTCTGATATTAACAACAGCAACAAGTACATGGATCCATGCTACATATAATAGTAGTAATTAAACAAATCGTGGTTGGTTTACCTCTTCTTCTGTATATGTCATTCGTGCGGGCCCCAGTCGTGTTCACCGTGGCATATCCATCCTCCTCCGCCCACATCGCGGCCGGGCATCGTGCATTTAACATCACGAGCTTGTCACACACACCAGGGGTAGGATTTAAAAAAAAAAGCAGCACATTACAGCGGTTGTTTTAATTTATGGCCGGGTAAATCTATTTAAACATAACACCAGACTTTGACACTATGTGTTTGACTCGCGATGACTGCACATGTCAGTGAAACACTTGGTGTCAAACTGACTGTGGCATGGTCCTTTTTTATACAAGAGCGTGGCACAAACCCCTCACCCAGGTTAGATCCACAACTATTTTCGTTGCCAGGTAGCAGCAGCAGCAGCTCGATCAAACAGGACCAAAATCCAAGCTCTCCCACTTCAAGGGGGCAACGGAGCCGACATAGGGGGACCCACGGAACAAGATGCAGACGCATGCACACACCGCTGCAATGGCAAGCATGGAATCTATGTACGGGCGACAGAGCAATCCTCCCTGGGGACCACCTCTGACCCCCCTCCGAGTCTTGTTGTATTCCATTATCGCGCATTTGGAGCATGATTTACCAGCAGCAGCAGGAAGAGGTTTATGGTCCTGCTGTTCCAGTTCTAACCAGACGTGATCTGCTATTTCATTTCCTCCTTCAATCACCACATATAGCTGCCCGTTTTCTCTGTCAGCGAGCTTCTGAGACACGAGTGCATTGTAAGAGTGGTGATTCCTCATTGTGGCATACGCACCAGGAGACAGCCCACTCTCATCTGCCAAAGAATTCCATCCATCCAACCCCATCTACATATATATACATACATATATATATAAACATCACTTAATCATCAAGCAATACATAAAAAGTGCGTAATCACCTGAGTCAACTGGGGAACTACGCAAAACAAAGGGCGTTTTAGTCCCTCAGTAATGAAAGTTCAGCAATGTCAGACTGATGATGACAAATGGACGGCCCGAAGAATCAAACAAGCATACAAATATTCATAAATTTACTATTGTTTTCAGCGATAAATCCTTAGAGCATTAGTTTCCTAAAATTACTGGTATTTGATCCAGGTTGTTTCCAAATTAGTTTCTGTGTGGTTTGTAAGACTCTTCTTAAGCATTGTATTTGCCATAACAGAGCAGGTAGTTGGAGTAATAGTATTTTAAAAAACTCCCAAATGTCAGAAATTATGGAGTCAAGAATTACCTGTTGGGGGTCATTAGTGAGAGCATCAACAATGTCATCTGAATTTGATGTAGAAGCAGCTAAGTGTAGAGGGGTAATGCCGCCAGGCCCAGGGGCATTTGGGGTGAAGATATAATGGACGGAGGTGTTCTCGTAACATATGGAGTAATGAATGAGCAAATCGACCATCTTCCGACACTTCCTCTTAACAGCCCTGCTCAAAATGTGAAGTTCAGAAACCAACTCTAATGACTCCTTACTTGCATTTCTAGCCAATGTAATCTCCAACAGAATGTCCAAAAGTGTCTTGACCACCTCAACAAAATCACGCTCAACCGAGAAAATTAATAGGAATTTGAACCGGCTGATCTTGAAATCACGCGTGGAAGAGTTGTGCTTTCTTTGGAACAACCACCCGACCTCGTTTAGAAAATGGACCACTTCTTCTCGGGACCCAGAGGCCATCATAAAATTTTGGTTCCCTTGTTCCAATGCTGTCTTGGGAACTTCACGTATTTCAGATTCAAGACGCCTCAATTCTTCACACACCGCCGCACTATCAGATACAATGACAGGAAAGGTGGTTCCTCCCAATCCATTTTCAGCCTGAATCAAGATATGTATGTCAAACCAATATTCCTAAAACCCACAACTTACAGCACGCTTGGTATGGAGGAGGGAATAAAGAGGGAAATGAGTATGTATTCTTTCACTATGTTTGGTTTGGGGAATGATGGAGGAGCGGAAAATACAAGGAAAAGAACAGAAAGTCACAAAACCAAAATTCTTAATCTTGTTTGGTTAGAAGGGAAATTGGTGAGAAAGTAGACGACAGCATCCCCACTTTTAGTAAAAAAGAGTGTAATTTTTTCATGGGTATCTTTTGTCCTAGCACACTCCTTTTTTTTCTTACCCCTCAGTGGGGGAAGAACAACGCAAAAGGGAAGACATATTCCCCAATCAACCAAACATAGGAGTATTTTTCCATTGGGAATAAAATAGGAAGGGAAAAAACTATCCCATCAATCAAACGAGCAGCATGTTTATGACGAAACTACCTCAATGAAACAGCGGCCAAGTCGATTAGGAGACATGTCATGAATGACAAAGTTGCCAAGGATGATCTCATCATGGGCAGTATCTTGGCCTGCCGAGCTATGAACTGACCTTATAGTGTAATCACTTGCATGCGTGCAATTAATCCTGAAATGTTAAACAAAAGTAAACCTTCTTCCTTCAAAGCATACATAGAGGGAATAACACAGACACAAAAGGGGACATAAAACAGTATACACACTTGATGTTGGGGCAGTTTAGATTTCTCCCCTTGAGCGTGAGACAAATTTCCTGGCCGCCGATAATTGCCAATGGGGAGACACATATCAATTCTGGGGACTTCCACTTTCTCCAGAGTTTGCACGCCCGAACATTCCCTATCATATTAATAGCATATAGATAAAAGAGATGAGATTTAAAAAAAAAATTGCCGGGTTCACATAATAAGAAGCCTAACACTTGTCGAAAGAGTATGCTAAAGTTGTGAAGCCATTTCATCTACAAGCTTAAGTAAAAGTTGCGAGAAATTGATTCAAAATCATATTATTTAAATATTACTTTTCAACAGAGTAGAACATGTAATTAAACCAATCTGCTCATTGCTCCAAAAAATGCAACAGGACTTACTTCAGTAACTAACCATCATGGAACATTGGGAAAGTAACAATCTGATTCATTTGAACTAAATTCTTTTACTGAAATAAAATTAACACATGAATGCTAACCATCTCTATGCAGAGCCATTCGCTTGCGAGTTCGAATTAAAAACCTCCCACTAGCCCAAAACTGAGGATCAACATCTTTAACCAGAGCATCCGCATACTGACAAAGATGTTCTTCGACCTACAAAAGAGAACATGGCCCCCACAAATCAACCAATATAAAAGTAGAAATAGTTTTTCTAATAAAAACATTCTAATGCACTTCACTCACGTGTTCCCAAACAAAACGTGGCATTGATAAGTAAAGCGAAATAAATATGCAACCGGGCCTTATATAACTCTCCATTTCTGAAGGAATATTAGAAAGCCAACTGTAAATCTGGAATACAAAAAAAGAATCATTACATCCTCAAACAGTAACATATAAAGATAATCAATGGGAAAACAATTAACCAAATTTCACACCTGCGTTCGAAGTGTCCCAGGCAAGTGGCTCGGATTTTTATCAAAGAGTTTAAAGATTATGCGTCCAGTACGATCCTATACAAGAATCAAATTGAGATTCAGACCAATTGCAAATATATTTAAATTGTGAAAACAATAAAATGGAGTAACACACTTAACATGATCTTTTGTTAGCAGTCAGTAGAAGAGACTATATTGACATATATACCTGTGGATCAGAGCTCATGCTAGATGGTGAATGATCAGAGCCAGATGAAGAAGTGTATCCTGTTCTATATGCAAGAGGACTTTGAGTAGAGCTAACAACGTCTGTTCCATTTATTGAACCTCCAAAAAGCTTAAAACAACCATTTGCTTTACTAGCGTTAAAATTCATAGTATTCTCCCGAGTATGCTCCTCCTTACTACTGGCATTAGAAACCGGGATAGGGAATAGATTACACACTGCAGGAGGTGAGGATGAAGGCGACATCTCTCCAGAAGGATTACTGCTCTCAGAAGAGAAATATTTTCCAGAAACTGAGAGTCTTGGCGGGCTATCATCTTCTTCTTCAGTTTGAGAACTAAAAAGCTGTAATGGTAAATGAGGACCACGAATCTCAGGAACGTGATGAAAATCTGTATCACCGCTAGATTGGTAACTGCCACTTTGTTGAGATTGAATGTCCATTGCTGGTGCTGGAGGTGTTGCTGAAAGTGGAGCAAGCAGGTCTAGAGTTGATGGAGAAGACATGTTGTTGCAATCTTTAAAGTCTCTCCCGGAAGCACGCGACTTTTCATCTGCCAACGGCAATGTCTTCATTTTACTGAAAACCTCTATTATTTTATCTTTATCAGGTACCAATGGCCTATTAGCACTCCTTCCCTCATTATTAATCCCTGAAATTACATGCAAATACATTACACCATTCCCTTCCTTGAAGAATAAGTGCCCATTTTGTATCTATACATTTTTTTGGTTTTTGGTTTTTCCATTTTAAAAATTTATATGATATAGATTGCATACTGAACTAAAAAAATCAATCATATGTATACCATACGTTTTAGCTTTGAAGCTGCCAAGGAAAAAAATGATTAGTTGATTACCATTTAAGTTTTTTTGGTAGTAGTTTTAGGTTTCAAAGAACAAGGAAACCAATAACAAACAAGCCCTAACATGAGCTTTTGAACACTAAATGCATTTAAAAAACAATGTGAACTCATTAGTGTTTACCATGTGGAGAACCTAGAACTGCTAGCAGATTGACAATGTCCAAGTTGCTGTGGTTTTCAGAATTGCCATTCTTTCCTGGGATAGATGGCCTAGGTGAGGTGTTGTCATCTGTTGGCTGAGTTTTTCTCCTCCTCTTGTTATGACCTGCAAGTCTGCGCCTACAACTCCTCTTGCCCTCATCAAACTCTGAAAGCAGGTGGAACCTGAGAAGAATAAAATGATCCAATTATATACTGTACATGCTTCCCGGAATGGCAACACAATTTAGCTTCAAAAGAAGTGGTCTTGCTTGACCAATGCATCCTTTCAAAGGAGAGCGTTTGTTAAAGCTTTTTGAAAGTCATACATCAGCTAAAAAATCAATTTTTTAGACGTTTAGCAAAATTTCAAAAACACATTATGGGATTCTAAAACTGATTCATTTTGGAAGTCAAGGTGCATTTTTTGGCACAGTTTTAGTGGCGCAGAATATGAAATCTTACCGGCAATCAATTCGCAAGTTGGGTTAGATAAATTTATCATATTGAACTAGCTTCAAATCCTATTTGGAACATTGTTTTAGAAACAGCTTCATATGAATATATGAATTCACACACCGCATACCTGCTACACTGCTGGCAAAATCGCTGCACCTGCTCCCGCACTAGAGCCTTCACAGCTTTACTGTGAAGCTCACAAACCTTATGCCGTCTATGATAGTCCTTTGCACTGGTCAAGTTTTCTCTACACTCGTCAACTTGGCACATAGGGTAATTAACAGCATTAGGAGATCCAGACCTGCCCCGTTTGTTAGGGCGTGATGCAATCTCCTCCGCAGAATTCAACCCAGAACCTCCAAGGTTCAAACTGAGGTTCTCATCCACTCGTACTTGTAATTCTGCCCTATCATACTCTTTAGGTTTGGCAAGAAACCTGGATCAATTTTTTGTAAATTATTCTTGCTGTGGCCATTCACAAAGCTTAGCATTTACATTTAACAATTGATTCAATGAATTACCTATTACTGTCCCAATCCCAAGACTTGGGATTCCAAGTGGCCAAAGGGTTCATTGGCTGGAACTGCAAACTGCGCTTCTTAGCCATCGAGTGCGGGAAACATCCACCAAGTTGATTCAACACAGGAGAAGCAATCCGGGTACTCAATTCTTCCATCTCACCAAAATTTAAACTTTAGAAGAGCTGACCAAAGAATCGCACAACCCAGATTTGATCAGAAACCCAACAATTAATTTTGAAAAAGGGGGGCAGAAACCAGCAGACATACATGAAAAGTTTAACAAGAGAGATCAAAGAGAGAAGCTTTTTAGAGAAAAAGATAAGAACTTGGATCTGTTTTTTGTGCAAATAATGAATCAATCATTTCAAGTAATTAAGATCAAAATAAAAAAGCAATTGGCAGAGAGCTTAAACGAATCTGGACATCTAAAGATCACATCACAGCAACAAATAGAGATCTGGTCCGAAACAAAAAGAAAAAGAAAAAGAAAGAAAGGGTCACCTTTATTTTTTGTTTTCACCTTCTTCTTCTTCTTGCTCCTCCTCCTCCTCCACCCATGTTCTGCCGCCCGCAGCTAAATTTAATTTCACTTTCTATAAAAATTGTTGTTGAAAATGAGGTGAAGAATTGGACGCCTGCCGGCGCATACATAATTATAGCGCCTTTTTCCGTACTGTCAAACTGTGTATGGGTTGGCTGGCAATTGGCAAAGACTGGGTCTGTGTGTGTGTGTACTATGTACGAAACAATTAAAAAAATAAAGTTTCTTTTGTGTTTGGGAGGGGGTGAGAAGTGAATAGCTACGAGGAAAAGAGGGGTGGGATTAGAAATCTGGGAAAGTGACGGGAGAGGAAGATGAAGAAGAAGAAGATGAAAGAAGAATGAAAGTTAAAGGAGGGGTATCTGTCGTTTTACGCTTCCTTCCTCGTGGCCAGTTCACATGCCCACCAATCCATACCCTGTAGGTGTGGGACCACTCGCTTCCGTACCGTACGCCTTCCTCCTCAGCCGCCGTGTTTGTACAGTAAATAATGATCAAATTGGGAGAGTTTTAAAAAAAGTACTCGATGCTCTCAGAATTGGCCCAACCAGGCAACCACAGCTAGGGAATACGTAAATAATCTCTCCATCCCTAATTTAATTATAAATTGCAAGTTATGGAATAAAATTTTCTACTTTTTGAAATAATTTTTTTAACAAATTAATATATCAATAAGATATAAAAATTATATATTAAAAAACTACGTCAAAACTTTTACGAAACAGGAGGTGACAAAAATAGTTTATTTTATCAAATACTTAATGAAATCGCGTAAACAAACAAAAATTATCGAGAGAAGATAGAAAAAAATTGTAATATATTTAGGGACGGAGGGAGTAGAAATTATTTATAAAGTTAGTATTCCTTCTTGTTAAAATATTCTTTCTCTTTTAGTTTATGATATTTGACTTAAAATATTTTGATTCAATTTATTTGAAGTGTAAAATAAAAAAGAAAATTATATATTTAAAAATTATATCTAAAACTTTACAAACTAAAATGACATTATTATATTATTTTATCAAATGACTAATCCAAAAATATATCGGCTCGGTTCCGTGGCCAATGGATTCCGTGAGCATTAAAACTGTGATCGTGCGCCCGCTCACGGAGCACTAATCAATCAATATTTAAATACTGCGCGTGTATACAAACCGGAGGCTTTTAGTAATCATTTTTGGATGAGCCGTTCTTTGTTGTTACGCATACTTGCCAATTTGAATGTGAGGTGCCTTTGTTCACCCAGCGGTTTGATACGAGAGGGCGGTGCAGTTTCAGCATCGTCCAAAAGTGCACTGCCGCGCTTCGTGAGATGGCATACAGGACCATTAGTGACATGTTCAATGAATACTTGAAAATGTCGGCAAGAAATATCAGGTCATGTGTTTATAAATTTTCTAAATCTATTGTTCGACTATATAATAAGAGGTATTTATGTAAGCCGGTGACGAGCGACATTGAGCAATTACAGACGAGGCATGCTGCTAAACACTGCTTCCTCGGCATGCTTGGGAGCATCGATTACACACATTGGGAATAGAAAAATCGTTAAAAATCATCTCACTGCGCCGCATGGTCATTTCTCTTGGAGTGATCATCCAAGCCTACTATTATGCTAAAAGAGTGGCTCCAACTGAGTTGTGGGTTTGGCATGTTTTTTTATGTTGTGGGCTCGAACAACGACATCAATGTTCTTGATCAATTTCTTGTATTTGACGATTGAGTTAATGAGACTGAAACCAACTCGTCTTTTAATCTTAGAGGGACGCTTTACAAGTATGGATATTATCTTTTCAATGAAATATATCCAGCTTATTCCACAATCGTCAAGTCCATCTCAGAACCAATAAGTCTTAAATGGAAAACGTACAAAAAAAACTAATGAGACGGCAAAAAAGGATATCAAACGAGCATTCAGAGTGTTGAAGGGTAAGTTGCCCATTATAGATCATCCGTCCAAGAGTTATTCTCAAACGAAAATGAGGAATATCATGTACGCATATTTTATTCTTCATCATAAGATTATAGAGGACCAGTGGCGGATCCACTTGTTTGGAGTAGGGGGCAAATGCCCCCAACTAATTTTTTTTAATAAGGATAAAAATATTTTTTTAATAATTTTTATGTATATATGCCCCCAACAAAAATCAAAGTGAACCCACTAATTAGGCCAAATTTAAATTTTTATTGTTTAATTTTTCTTAGTAAAGTGGTTATTATTGCATATAATTAATTGTTTATAAAATAAAATTTCACCTTACCTATTTAAAAACATTTTACATTCAATAAATATTTGAAAGAAAAATCATATTTATTTATCATTTCAAATATCCATAAAAAAATTTTGGGGGCGCTACCCCTGGACCTCCCATTAATGCTGCCTCCATCTACTTCAATTCCTGGATCCGCCACTGTAGAGGACCACATGTTTAATTTGCAATTTGTGAATACAAGCCTGACAAGAAGATGCCTATGTACGAAGAAATCAACGAAGAATAGAAACAAAGAAACCATCGATAAATTCAAAGCCGAGAGACTCACAATGCACTAACGGCAAGTTTGGTTGAATATATTTTTAGTTGCTCAAATACTCATTAATTTTTTCGTAATATAATGTAATTATTAATTTTTTTTACTTATGTTGTTATTATTAAAATCTTTTTTTATTGATGTAATTTTTTTATTTAATAATTTATTTTCATTCAGATTTAATTAATAAATGAATTCTTATTAATTTACTTTTACAAAATGAGTAATAAAAGAAAAAGGGTCAATATTCTTCCAACGACGGCACGGTGCACTAGCATTAAGGAGGTGTGAATGAATGACGCATCTACTATGGGCTAACTAGTATGGGGTTAATAAAACCCAACTTGAGTCGGAGGAACGGCATATACTTGGCATAATAACGGAGGGGATTACAAGTGAGCATAGCAAAATGTGGCCAAGTTTTCACCACCCATTTTGCTTTATTTTAGTAGCTAAGAGGTCAGTATTGGACTAGGCCTCTGATGTATGAATGAATGAAAGAATGGGTCATTTTGAGCCAATCGTACTATGCACACTACATTTTATCGTCTTTGGTTACGGAATGAATGTGTGTGTTAGCTGCTGTCTCTAAATACAGCCAAGAAATGATAAATGCGAAGAGCATCACAAAGAGATTTGAAGTGATACACACATGACCCACCATATCTTGACCTAATCCCCCAAACCAAACCAACCCCCACCCCATACCCGGCCCTGTCCACACTTTGTTATTTTATATAGCTCAAGTAATCAAAAGAGACGTTTAAAGAACATTGTGACCCGATTCGACCAGCAGATAGATCTCACTCCCTATTGATTATTGTTTACTTTCCGGACATCTACTTCATATGGATCATACTTTATTTACCTTCTCTAAGGTAATCATTCGGACCCAACCTGAAGGGGCCTTTAGATGCCCTTTCCTTTGTTTAACCTAAAAAAGAAGATGAAGGTACAAATGTACAATGTCTGAAGTCCAGCCCACCCCATATAATAATCAGAACAATTAAAAAAAAAAAAAAAAGAATTTGCGAGCCAACCAGCCCAAATTTGAGTAGCAAACATACACAAAGAAGGCCTGGTCCACTAAACGAGCAAAGAAGCCCATTATTTAGGAACGGAAGCGAAGGCCGGACCAAAATCGGGTATGCACTGCCTGTTGGCTAGGGCTCCGGCGGGTCTCAAAAGCGATCTCCGGCGGGGATGATTTGCGAACAGATAGGGAGTATATAGAGATGGAAGGAAACGGTTAAGTTATACAATACAAGCAGGAACGGTGGTTTTGATTTATGCATCATACAGTCGTAATATGGAATCTTATCAAACAAAAGCACACTTACAGTTATTACAATAGCTTACATGGGAGATGAAATCGTCAATTTCAATTCCAATTGAGGAGCATCAATCTTCTTCTTCTTCTTCTTCTTCTTCTTCTTCTTCTTCTTCGTCGGGGATGGCACACTCGTCGGTTTCGGGGTGGTCCTGGCAGAAGAATTCGAGAGGATCTTGTTTCTTCTGAAGCTTGAGGCGGAGATCGGCCTTGGCCTGGCTCACCTCTTCCACCTCGTCCCAAGCCACCTTGCACTCGTCCGAAGTCTCGTCCTCCCCGCATATCTCCTTGGCTTCTATCACCTTCTTCTCGATCATCTCCGCCAGCTTCGTCTCCCTCATGTGCGTCCCCTTGTACTTCGCTCCGCCGCCACCGCCGCCGCTAGGGCTGGGCGTGGCTGTACCTGCCGCCGTCGCCGCTGCTGATTGAAGCTTCCTTGGTGATCTTTTTGACATCCAAACGCTGCGAAATGATGGTTTCGAACTCAAACTGAAAGCCGTAAAGCTCAGAGACGCCATACCTTTCTTCTCTCTAGGCCGATCTGCTTCTTTTCTCGTTCGGGTGTTTTCTTCTGGACTCAAATTTTGATGTTGAATTGAGTGTATAGTATAGTAGCAGTGGTTGGCGGTTTGTTGGAGGTCGGATAAGGAACCTATCCGCGACCTTTTTCTGTGGCTTCCATTTAATCTTTTTTTGACAATATAATCAACCCGTTTTAAATTATTTTCTCGGTCATAATCATGTATTCATCTAATTTCACAAAGAAGTTTTACAAATATTTAATTAAACATAAAATAATTATGAGATTGAATAGAAAATATAATTTAGGGTTCAAGCCCAACCCAAAGTAAAATCAGTTCAACTAGTTATTCATTACTCCCTCCGTCCGGATTTTAAGTTCCCAGTCTACGCTTTTTTCCGTCCGGAAATAAAGTTCTCATTTTACGTTTTCATACCCACTCTCCCTAAAATACCCTTCATCTTCCCCTCTTCTTTTTCCATTTCTTTCTTCTTTTTCTTGTTTCTCCCTTTTCCTTTCTCCGCCACAGTGGCCACACCAGGTTTGGTATTTCTCTCTCTCTCTTCCCCCTCCCCCTTTTACTTCTCCTCCCCGTTTTCTTCCTCCTCCTCCCCTTCTTCTTCTTCTTCTTCTTCTTCTTTCCCCCCTTTTCTCTCCCCCCTCCCCCATCTCCTCTTTTTCTTCGTTTCATTCTTTTTCTTGAAGCCCAAGTCCGTACTCCATATGAGCAGGGGAGTTAATTCTTGAACCCAAATTAATTTGTGGAGAGGATTCAACTCTTGAAGGCCCAAAGTGGTTTGAATCGAGAAGTCAATTGAAATTGTGCCCTTCTTCGATCCTGTGCTGAGAAGATTTTATGCACTGTTGTGGGGATTTGGAGATCCATTTCCGCAGAAATAGATTTAGGGCGGAGATTCTCCTTTGTTACATCGAAAAAAAAAACGCAGGCAGAGTAAATTGAAATTGGACTTGTGCAGCAGAGAAGGCTAGGGGTATTTTGGACAAATTATACACAAAGTCAACTTCCCATAAAAATGACCAAAAGTCAAAATGGGAACTTAAAATCCGGACGGAGAGAGTATTAAATAACAACTTAAAAAAAAAGATTTTTTCCATTTGTTAGTACTTGTGTGCAGTTAAATATCACACGCTCAACATAAAGCTGAGTGACAAATAACCAGTAAATATATATAACATGCAAATATATTTTAAGACATCTTTACTTATTCAAGTTTAATGTTTTTCACAAATTTTAAAACATTGAAAAAAATAATCTCACTCTTGAAAGTATTAGGAATCATTGAGTAAACAACCTCATTTTTTTTTTAAAGAGTTGCTTGGAGACATTTAGACTAAAACTAGACTTTCCTTGGTTAACCTTAGTTAAGAGAAAGTATGTAGATCATCCGCCGACACTGTGTAGATGCATGGGAGGAGCTAGGCCAATGCAAGAGATGGATCTCCGTAATAATAACCTACCAAAGTTTCCGATTCTTAAGCTGAGTGGGCTTGATCCGTCCATGGATAAGGGCTACCTTATGCAGATCTTTGATAAGGTCGGTTATAAAACGGTAAGTAATTAATCACTCCCGTCGGTCTGTCTTTTGATTATTACTCCATCTCACGATTTGTACGTGCTTTTCTAAGACAAAATCTTATCAATTTTAGAATGAGAGAGTAATTTTGTTGAGAGAGTGTTCCAATATTACTTGGGTGTGTTTTAGAATTAGTTGAGAGTTCTCAATACTTTGTGAGAGGGTTTTACAATTTGTCCGTCCAAAATTGTACTTGTTTTCTTTATATGAATAGGGAGTTATTGTGGATGTAGGTTTATTGAGAAACCGAACCACGGTAAAAACTATAGTGCCTTCTTATTTTCTCTTCTGCGTATATTATTCTGAATCGGAAAAATTTGCTCTTTTTTCCCAACACAACTGCCCCACTTCAAAAGGGCGGCAATTGGTCGATAGACTCCAAACTCAAGAAAGAATAATATGTAGGCAAATTTAAACAGATTGATGAGATGCGTCTTATGTGGGTTATGTAATTGAGTATTGTGATCACCCATTCTGCAATTGTTTGTTCCTTATGCAAGCTGTTATGGGGCACATTATATTGAAAAGTGATTGGGTTAGTTATAGTTGGACAGCGGCCAATGTGAAGGAACTGGAACTGTCTTTGATGGGTATTAAATGCAGCAGCTGAATATAGATATAGAAAAGTCCAATAAAATTGTGTCTGTTTGTTTTGAAAATGTTACTATTCTGTATGTTTGATGTTCTCTTCGTTTTTAAAGTACGTAAACAGTGGGTACCTAATGGTTGCTATAAAGTGTGCGCGCATCTTCTTTTAGGTGTATGCGCTCCAGGTGGTCCGCGATGATGATGAGCCGTATGCCTTTATCCAATTTGTTAACCCAGAGTCAGCTACTATTGCCATGAATAATTATCGCAATTGGATGCCCCCGGGTGTTGTGCTGGAATTGTTCAGATCTCCAGATGAAGGTCACCGTGATAAGCATCCCAAGAATCACCACAAACTTCTCCCGGATTTTCATAGGTCAGAGTTGCTTAGTCTTAGTGTGGGGTGTAGCATGCCGAGTGTTGAGCGCATAACCGTGAAGGATGTCAAACACAAGACCTGTGCTGCTAAAATCTACGGAAAGGTGATGGTTTGTGACCATAAATTCATGCAGATCATATATCGCCGTGGACCGTCCCAAAGCGAAGAAAAAAGGAGCGGAGATTATTTAGAACTGAAAGGTCCTAATCGTTCTGCCCTTGACTTACTCTTTGGCATCGACATTACTATCAACCTCTTTGAGGAACGTGATGGCCAAGAAAGAGTTTTTGCTAGAGGCTTTCTTTGCACTGGGGTATTATGAGGGTTTCTTTGAAGAGGATGTGGAAGGTGATGGTGGAGTTGTGAGCGTGGTGTATGCATCGGTGCCGCATGCTGCTTAGACCCGGGTCTCTGTGAGTGGGCTGCTTTCAAAGATGCATGTCTCCAGATGTATCAAAGCCTCGAGGGAAATTGTCGGGGTACAGAGGGAGTTTGTAATCTTTGCCAGATCTCAAGACAACCCTGTCGATGTCGGCCTTGATGGTTTTTTTATGTCTAGATTGTTCGTGCGTGATAATATCAAAATGGTCTGCTGGATTAACCATCTCTGTCTCTTTGAATGTGCGTAATGCTGATGGGAAATCTTGTGTTGTGCAAAAAGTTCTTGTGTTCGATGCAGTGTTCCAGGTGGAGTCCCAGACCATAGAGGACGACGATGATGTATTTGGTGGCCAAGTCACTGTGTGCCTCACTTACGAGAATACCCCCGATTGTGAATACCTGAAAGATGCACCGTATAGTGAAAATGATGAGAGTGAAGTGGATCGACCCGAGTACGATGAAGTGTTGGAGGTTCGCGCATCAATATTGTCTCAGAAAAAACATAAGGATTGCTTGTAGCTTTGATTATTTGTCCCCTAATGCCGTATGCACGATGTTTCTATGCATACAGAAGGGGTGCAAAATGAGCATCCTGCACAAACAATAGTAAATGGCACAATGAAATATGTTTACAATTTGGAAAACCATTTGACATGGAAAAAGGAATTGCTTGGATCACACAAGTTATTGTTTGTTTTTATTCACAATGTTGATCAGCTTGGATGAGTCCACAGTATTTTGTAACTTTGGCTTCCAATATAATGTGCTTACACCATTTGGGGTACCTATACTTCTATTAGTAGTGACTTTGCTTAAAGTGTTGATCATTTTGATAACATTTGAAGGTTGGTGGCCTGGTGTGTAGTGGTCAGTGAAGAAGAACTTCTGGGTTTTTGGATAGTAAATTAGTAACAGAGTATTCCAAAGATTAAACATTTGGAATGATGACACTAGACATACATCAATGAAGAATCATTCAAAAATCTTATGTAAGCAGTACAATGATATCCCTTGTACGAGATTTTACTAGGATTTGTAGCTAGGAGTATTTCTTCTTCTTGACATACACAAACAATTCCAAATGCAATTATTCAAAAATGGTATGCTAAAATACAATTGAAAGCAATGAGTAATGAAAGCACACTGTACAATAGAATGAAAACAGAAAATTAAAGACAAAAAGGTGTCTTTGGATGTTAAAAAAAATTATGTGAAAGGAAATTTAAACACTTCAAATGCAAAACACAGAAAATGGCAAATCCAAACTTTTGAATGTAAGCAAAAGTATACTTTTTTTTTTTTTGAGGAATTATACACCATCTCTAGTAACTTTCTTGATTATATTTCCATACACTGGTTTGAAGGAAAAAACATTTTGTTCTTAGAGATATCATCTCTCTCATCCAAATGAGTGTCACATCTGATTACACTAATTTTATATTTTTCATACTACAAAGTGACAATGTAGATACACGAATTCACCAACTTCTTAAAAATATTTTTTAAACAATAAATTTAAACTAATAACATAAATCAATTTTAATCCATTTAGTTTTTAAGAAAACTTAATTTACTAGAGTTGAAAAAAACATTTTACTTTTTTAGAGAGAAAATTATCTGAGTAGATTTGTTTGGAGATTGGGGTTTTAAAATGGGTGCCAAAAATATATGCTCTATTTTGTGCATATATGTTGTAAATATTAATTAAATTTTATAACATAAAAAATAATTAATACTCCAAATTAAAGATGTATAGATCTTATAAAAAAGTAGGGGTGAGCATGGTACGGTATGGTACGGTATTTAGCTCGTACCGATACCGTACCAAATATTTCGGTTCGGTATGGGATTTTGCTCCGTACCGATCCCAATCCCGAAATATCGGTTCGGTATGGTTCGGGATGGTTCGGGATGGTTCGTTATCGGTATCGGTACAAATCGGGATAAATATACATACCTACTTTACATGTTAAAATTTAACAATACCATTTTATTTTTGAAAATTAAAAGTGAATTTAAATAAAAAATATGAAAAATTTAAAAAATGAATATTTAAATGCAAGAGATGCGTATCAAAACTTAGTTTATACTCCCTCCGTCCTAATTCTTTCTTCCCAGTTTGACTTTTCCCCATTTTTAATTTTTGACTTTGACTTCAAATTTTACCCTCCTTAAAAAAAATTTTTTGAAAATTGTTTTTGCAATCATTCAAAATATAGAGTTAGAAGATAATTGGTGTGAATACATGAGGGTATTAATGTCATTTGTCATCTTTTTTTCTAATGGAAATGTAGTTTTAGGACGGAGGAAAAGGGAAAGTGGGAAGAATGTTTTAGGACAGAGAGAGTATTTCACAAACTAAAAAAATGAATGACAACAAAGGAGTATTTCGAATCTTTGCGAATACTTTTATGTTCATACACAAAAATTAAAACTCAAATAAAAATATAATTTACACATCATAGAACTTGAACATATTTTTTTTAAAAAAATTAATATTTAGTGAAGGAATATAAAAATATTACTTCGGGGTATTATTTTTATAATATTTTAGTATATATGTTCGGTACGGGATTTTCGGTATGGGACGTCACCTCGTACCGTTCTCGAATATCGTACCGACCATTCGGTTCGGTACGGTTCGGTTTCTTCTCGGTACTTTTTCGGTTCGGTATTCTCGTTTTTTTTGGGAAATTTCGGTATCGGTTCGGTACTTGCTCACCCCTATAAAAAAGGGTGTATATCGAAAGAGAATGAATAAAGATGTTGTACCCTATGTTGGATTTGTCAATCTCATCCCGTTCACCTAGTTTTGCCGGAAAGTTGCAACAACTTTCGACCATTTGTGTCATGTATTTTGCATGATCGGATTGTCAAACTTAACCGGATTGTCATGCTTAACTTGGTTAGACTTGTGCACACAAGGCCATGCAACAATGCAACAATGCCACATGTTAATGTTATTGTCGCATGCCCTTGCTAGAGCAAGGGTCCATTATGTTTAATTTATTTTTCAGCTTATTACTTGTTCATATTAAGATCAAATCATAAATAATTTTAAATATAACTACAATCAGATCATATTACGTCCGATCAGATGAGATCTAATGAAATCAAACTAGCTAGATATTCAAAAAATCAGATCAAAGGAACAAAAAGCATCCCAACTCCAACATTTTTTGTGTAATCATGATTCAAACTTTTGCATTACAATACTGACAATTGTCAATTGTGTTTGTGCAAAATTTGAGATCACGATAGCCCAAAATGTTGAAGTCATCCCTACTTAATCTTCGCCATTAACCTTTTCATAAAAAAGGATGAACCTCATTCCCGAGGATCCTCTCAGACTCCCGACTTATGGTCATAGATTGATGATAGAATTATGTCAAAGAGTGAAGCATGCACTTGGTACTCGCAGAGGTCTTATGCTAAGCATAGTTGCCTCCTAACGTTGTTGATAGGAATCGAATTCAGGTCTTACCTCATTGGCACTCATTGTCTCGCCATTAACATTTTCATGATTGAGAATCTGTTTGACATTAACATTAGAAATTAGCGTTAGTATTTTTAAAATATAATATGACGGGATCCTTTAGCATTGACTTTATTAGAATTAATTTATATCATTAATCATTATCCCAAAGAAGGCGTGAATTAATGGGCATTCGTGCAAAAGACAACAAGCAAGAAGGAGCGTTTTTGGCATATGTCTCTTTTAATGACCCGGCCCACGGCCCTAACGGCTATGGAAATTGAGTATGGGATAAATCATCATCATCCTCATATTTCAAAATTCAAAAAACCATCTGCAGATTGTAGCCGCAGCGGTACAGACACTTGGAAATGGAGAACGCAGGGGAGGGGGTGGCAGCAGCCATGGATCCAGAGACCCATTTCTTGGCATCGAAGCAAGAGACGGGCAACGAGTGGGAACTCTTCAAGGAGAACGTCAGGCCACTCAAGAGAGGCCGCAACGTCCGGCTCCTCAACCACGCACTCAAATCCAACTCCGATTTCCGCCTCAAGAATTCCCTACTCCGTCAAAGAAGGTTACTTCATTCCCCGCTCATTTGATTTCTTCACTTTTACCCCACTGCAATCTAACCCTCCCTTTCATGGATCTCCTCCCACCAGGAGGCTGATTGAAGCCATTGACGAGTATAATGGCGAAGACCCCCTCCATCCATGGCTAGAGTGAGTAGACCTGCCCCCGTTTCTCTTCAATTTCGGATCTTTTTGTGTTTCTCCCTTTAAATTTTGGCATTTTAAGATCCCTTTCGTTTCCCATGTCTTATTATTCATTATATTCACTGTACTTGTCAATCAAGTAACTTGTATGGTGGATTCTATCTCAATTCACATCATTTTAGCACCCAAAAAAGTATCCTTTGCTAGTTTGCTCCGATTGTTTGTATAGTCAACAATTTTAATGTAATAGAGTTACATAATTTGCCTGTTTCTTGTCATTAGATCTAAAAGGAACTTTTTTTTTTCTGGGATAAAATCACCATGTAAAGGTGTATGAAGTGGGTTCAGGAGTCTTTCCCGCCTGGTGGAGACAGCTCAGGACTGGTCGTGATTTATGAGCAATGTGTCCGCAAGTTTTGGCATGATGATCGCTATAAAGATGATCTTCGCTACTTGAAAGTTTGGTTGGAATATGTGGGTTCCATTTCCTCAACTGTTTCTCCCTTTACAACACCCCATAGAGTTATTAAGAGAATATATAAATGAGTTTTCTTATTGTGTTTTCATTTGATCATTTTGGAAGGCTGAAAATTGTGCGGATGCAGAAGTCATCTATAGATTTTTGGAGGCAAATGAAATTGGTCTGTCACATTCTTCCTTCTACTTGGCATACGCGTTGCTCATGGAATCTAAAAATAAGATTAAGACTGCAAATGAGATATTTAACCGCGGGATATCTATGTAAGTTCTTGATGCTTTGTTCGCAAATAATTCATGATTGGTTGATGCACAATGTGTTTTGCATTGGAAATTCAGTCATGTTAACGATGATCATTAGCTTATGCACTTGGCTCTGGATTGTGTGCTTCTGTACTATTTCTATTCCTTTTTTTCTGTTTGACAGAAATGCTCAGCCAATTGAAAAGTTGAAGGAGGCTTATAGAACATTTCTCTCTAGGTCAATGGGTAGACCTAAAGAAGCAGAGGTTTGAAATGTACTCCTTTAGGGTTCTTACATCTAATAAGTTCTTACTTTTATTTGTTGTGTTTTCCTTAATGAATGATACATCTCTGCAATTGGCCAGGAAGATCCAACCGAAAACCAGTCGCAGGTTCGAAGCTTTGGTACTTTATTGAGTAAAGGGGCCACTGGTAAGTCCTTAAATAAACGACATGTTTCTCTTGAAAATTTGAAGTTTAGTTAATATGGGGTAATATACCTCTTTAGGTAATCAAACTACAGATGGTTCTGGAGTTTCCATTAAGAAGATGAAGCATGGAAAGTAAGTGAAAATGGATCTCTCCCCCTTACTTGGCAGCATGCATTATGTTTATTACTACCTCCATCCCCAAAAAAAGAACTCGTGTTTGATGGGAAACAACTCTTTTATGCTGATAAAGTACAATTCATTAGTCCCGAAGTTAAATTCTATATGTCCGTTTAGCTAAAGTTATCATACAAAACTTGTGCTTGATATTTTTGTGTGTGAAAATTACATGAAAATCCAGTTCTGCTTTATCTCTTCTTTTGGGACTAAAAAGATTGTTTCTTTTCACTTGAGGGAATGCATTTCAAGATTCTCTGGAATTCCATGAGACTTCTTTTTATGAATATCTATGTTGATTCATACAATGATTATATGACAGCAAACTCTGTTCTGAAAAGTCTAGCCATCTTTAAGCCCAGTATGCTACTCCGTTGCTCTACTTCACCTACTGATTTTTGGAGACTAAAATGTTGTTACTTATTAATGATATTGCAAGCACAAGTTGACACAGAGTGTGGTTTGTGTCCAAAATATCAGGCCCCATGGTGCACTTTTGCCTATTTATAACGATACAAACGCCAGTAATACCACATCAAGGCATCATATAGAGAAATCGAAGTTGGAAAGCAAATCATCGTGGCACTGCCTTGGTGCCCGTGGAGAAAGGAACAAAGAAAATCTTGCAATTCCTTCCAAATGGACATCAAATAAGGTTTACCTATCTTGTGAACTCAAGAATTCACTTTGCTAATAGGATGTTTCACTCATAGTGCCTTTTTTCCAGATTCCTCAGAAAACAGCACATAGAAATAGCGGAGCCACTGCTCCTTGCATTGAGATCTTTGTGGATGAAGAATGCAAAGAGTGAGTACAGTTATATCTTTGTTAGAGTTTTTGTATTCGTGAATGGATTATCCGCTTGCCCATTCCTTATTAATATCGTGTCAACATTTTTTTTGTATACTCAAGCAGAACGGATAAAGCAGAAAACCATGGTGAGGTCTCTACTCTACATCTCAGACATGGGGATGGCAAAGACATAAAGAAGTAAGTCAATCAGGACATCTAAGTTACAAGTAAAAGTTTGGTAATCAAATGTGTAAATGATAAATGTGTTTGATTGCATTACGTTCCATTTTGGGTTGTCAAATGATACCTTCTCTTATTTTCTTGTCATTTACCTTTCTGCTTCAGTTCAGTGCTAATCCAAATGATGTTTTTAACTACTGTATCCAGGGAAACAGAGCTGTTGAGGGAGAACCCACTGCATTACTTCCCTCCAAGCTCTCTGCCAAGATGATTTGTGGTTTCGGGAGGAAAAAAGAACAACCTTTTCAAAGCTTGTATGTTCTTGTTGAAATTGGCTGTTTTAGGTGGCTTGGCTATCGTACGTGATTGATATCCAGTGAACATACTGCAAGAACATTGTGTTGTGTTCTTCTTTAGGTATCAGCCATTTGTTGTTGTAACCTTTATATATGTTATGAGGACAAGAAAGATGTGTATTTTAGGATTTGCATGCTCGAATCATCTTATTATCCCCTTTGTTGAAACTTGAAAGCATTACATCATGATTTGATGATGTGTAGGATGAGAAGCTAGAAAAGGGATTATGTTTTTTTATATGCAAGCGGATGTTTCCCGGGTTGTGAGAACGTATCCTAATTAGGCTGTTTTCTTTTCAATTGTAGCCAAACTTTTATTTGGAAAGTGTTATCTGTGTATCATATTCATTCATACAGCACCAAATATTTGAACTACATTGGCCATTGTAAAAAAAGAAGATAAAATTGGTCTCTAGTTCAAAAAATTTGTCTATGGAGTACATGAGGCACATCCACGCTTTAAATCCACTAATCATTTTGATATATCCTATAATGGTTTGTAGTTTTCAAGGTTACAATTTTCAGGAATTCAAAACGTGTGTAAACCGAGTTTATAATTACCACCCAACTCTTGTATTGATTTTGAACTTGATTGATATATTGTATTGATATCAATTTTACTGTGGACTTGAAAAGGATGAATTTTTGTAAAGTTATATGAATGCGTGATAATATTATTACCGAAAGGCCTTTATATACTCATAAAAAAGAACCAATGAGTAAACAAGGAGCACCTACGAAGCTCCAACTACACATGATAATAATGGAGTGATAGAGAAGAAATGTGTAGCCAAACCTGAATAAAAAAGATAACAAAATACTCCCTCCATCCCACTATATTTGTCTACTTTCATTTTTTTACACCATCCAATACACTTCTTTAATCCATTTTATCTTGTAATTTGTATATTAAAAAATTATAGAAATTATGTATTAATAATCTATATGTTAAGACAAATCAAATAAGATCACGCATGACTATATTTAGGCTTACACATTGAGAGAATTTGATGAGTCAAAGTGCTTAGATGAACAGTTCCAAAAGTCAAAAGTGGACGAATATAGCAGGATGGAGGGAGTATGTATTTACTCGGTACAACAGATCTACACTAAAGAAGTGTAAGATGTGTTTTTGATCTTTTAAAAATTACTTAATTTAATTTTTAAGGAATAATACTTAACTAAAACTAAAACATGGCTCACATATTTTGTTTGGTACATGTCTAACACTCTAACATATTAATATAAGAGCTTTAATATTTCATACGAAAAAAATAATTGATAATATTAAATAATGTCACAACTTGGTAGAATTTAAGATGAGAAAAGAATCATTGGATTGGACCATAAGAATCAATCGGTTACTTAGTTCAATTCAAAAGTTTATGCTCCGCATATTGACTATCCCCTGATTTTTTTAGCACCGACATCTAAAGAATCACGAGCCGGTGAGTATGAACTTTTGGACTAGCAATCGAATAAAACGAGCCACAGATTGTTTGATATGCATTCTACACTCACAAATGGGCTAAAAACAATGACTACTAGAAATGAATCTCAAGATGAATACCTTGACAAACAAGGTAAGTTAAATCTGACTTTGATAGCATGATAAAATTTTAGATTGAATAACCCAATTGATTATTTAATTCGACTTATTTCTATTTTGTTTTCTAATCAAACAAAAAAAGCCCTTTGAAATACAAATTTAGATTGTCTAGAAATTTACGTGTTTTGTTCTGTTTTCTCGTTTCTGATTGGCCAGGTGACGCTGATTGCAACCGGCTAGGAAACATGGCCGAAACTGGGCGGGAGGGAAGGAAAGTTCTTCACCTTCGTCTCTAAGCAAAGCCCTCACCGACTCCGCCACTAAATTCTCTCAACCCCTAAACACGAGCTTCTGAAAGCCCCCTGTATCTATCCATATTATATTTCACCCTGTAAGTATTTTTCGTTCTTTTCTCCATCGCCGCTCAGCAATGGACGGCACCGAATCAGTCAGCAACGGCGATAACCCACCGGAACAAATCCTCGATTATGATTGGGATATCATACTAGACGGTGAAGATCCGTTCACTGCAGCGGGATTCTCGGATCCTTCGCCCGATTCGCTTCCCCTGTTGATCGGAGACATCGAGCAGATTTTGTTGAATGAAGACGATGATTTTGGTCCTGTAGCGGGGGAAGGGTCATTTGAGGAGCAAGACGTAGGGTTCGATTGGAGTAGTTTACTACTGGATTCCCCTTGCGAGGCCTCGGATTCCAAATGCTCTAGCGGCGGGTCTGAGGTTGAGGAGAGGGATCTGGTCGACCCGTTCCAGCAGAAGCTTGACTGTGTTGCCCAGGTGCTTGATAGTGATAATGGAGATCCCGTAACAAAAAAACGCAAGAGGTACTTCTTTCATCTAATTTTACTTTATGTTTTGTTTTGTTTTTTTCGAATTATTTTTATCTCGTTCCTAAAATATGCGTTGTTTTGGACTGGAGACTCTGTATATTTACCCTAGTTTCATTCATATTAATGTTTAGCATTTCTTTCTTTTGATTGATTGGTGTGGAAATGTAGAATGGATTGCTGTTATTTCTTTTCTGGTTAACGTTTAGCAGTTTTTTTTAAATCGTATGATTCTTCGCCAGGCAACTGAGGAACAGGGATGCAGCAGTGCGATCAAGGGAGAGGAAGAAGATGTATGTGAGGGATCTTGAGCTGAAGAGCAAATACTTTGAATCAGAATGCACGAGACTTGGGGTGATGCTTCAGTTCTGTCTAGCCGAAAATCAAGCTCTGCGCTTTTATTTGGAGAACAATAACAAGAAGGCCGTTGGTGCTTCGAGTCCAAGGCAGGAGTCTGCTGTGCTCTTGTTGGGTAAGCCTGCCACACAACCTCCTCCTTCATTTCATTCTTTCTCTTTCCCTTTTTCCACACTTTTGTGTCAATTGGTCTTGTTTTGGTTCAATTTTTAACGTTAGGTAAGACTCTCATTGCACTCTGTGTCGAAGACATTGTCATTAGTTTTGTGTTTTTCACTTTTCTATTAGCACGAACTTCTCAACGCACGAGGGACTGGACTGTGTTTCCACTTCAAAACAAAAACAATGACATGTTGTTTTCTTGGGAGCATATTATGTTAGTCACTCTAGTAGTTGTGAGAGTATGATCCAACAACATGGTTTGTTTGATTGTGCAGAATCCCTGCTGTTGGGTTCCCTGCTTTGGTCACTGGGCATCATCTTCACATGCCTGTTCATCCTACCATCCCGGCTCCTGTCAACCCTACTGCGAGTCCTTCCTCAAAAAGGGCAAGAAGACCAAAATCAGGCAAGCCGGATAAAGGCGGGAAGGGAGCAGAAGAGCATTAGAATTTGTGTCTTCCCAACTATGATGGGCAAGAGATACAAAGCTTCGAGGTCAAGGTTGAAGTATGCTTGTCATTAGTGTTGCACCACTGTGCTTTTCTTCACATTATACTCTGCACTGTCTTTTGAGTTTTGATCATCCCGGAACTTATGGGTTATCACATAGGAAAATTTAGTTAAATAACACTAAAACATAATGACTTTCCCTAAATAACATCATATGTGTTTTTCTTCCCAATATAGCACTTTTAGTCATTATCCATTAGTCATTATTCAAGTAATGTTCGCTATCACTAGACATTATTGACATGATTAAGTAATATTTAGGGAATAAAACAATTTCGGTGACATTTTAAAAAATGACTTAAGTTTTAGTGTTATTTAATGCAAATATTTCTTATAGACATTCTATACTCCTACCTGTTGTCCGTGAGAATTGTTTGAGAAGCCATCTCGGGATAGTCCGGAACATTAAACAAAACTAGTACTAGGGATGGCAACGGGTCGGGTTCGGGTCGGATAGTACTATACCCGAACCCGACCCGACTTTTAAAACCGAAACCCGAACCCGATCCGAAACCCGACCTTTAAAGCCAAAAATCCAACCCGACCCGAACCCGACTTTTAACCAATAATCAATTCGACGTACCCCAATAATTTTGAAAAAATTAAATCTAATTCTTTTGTGTCTCTTTTTTTATGTCTCCTTTTTTATTAAGAGATTATAAAAATGATTATAAAAGGCATATTTGATATAGTAGCACTTTGTCAAGAGATTATACGGAGTGCTCATTACATCCATAGATAGACTTTTTTGTAATAAAATATTCGGGTTTTAGTCGGGTCGGGTGCGGGTTCGGGTCGGGTCGGGTCGGGCAAAATTATAAATCCACACCCGACCCGACCCTGATGTCGGGTTCAGGTAAAAAATTTCGGGTCGGGTTCGGATTAGTTTATTTTCGGTTCGGGTTCGGATATTTTAGTAGTCGGTCGGGTCGGTTAAGCTCGGGTTCGGGTTGAATTGTCATCCCTAACTAGTACATCACACGTGCGATGCACGGAGAGATAAAGCATTTTGTGAGTGATGTATCATATTATTTATCTAACTCTAAATGTAAGTATAACATAAAGAATGTGTTTTAAAGTACTATATTCAATGCCTAATATTCAAATGAATCAAAGTAAACAATGTATGTTAAACATGAATCATACATTCTCAACATCTTCTTATAAACTACATTAACTGTAGTATTAGATGGAGTATCGTTAGAATTACATACCATGATTTTTAATCTCTCGCGAGACCGCACCCTAAACATGGCCACATACAACTGTCCGTGACTAAAAACATATTTTTTCAAGAATAAACCAACATGAGAGACACACTGTCCCTGACTCTTGTTTATGGTCATCGCATACGATACCATAATTGGAAATTGTCTTCTTTGAAACTTGAATGTTAATCTGGTATCTGATGGAGACAATGAAACTCGGGGTATTAAAACCGTTTGACCTGCATTTTTTTCCATAAATCATCTTTGCTTCCAAAAGATTGTTACCCAATCTTGTAACAATTAAACGTGTTTCGTTGCATGGACCATTAACAAGATAAATGTTGCGCAAAAGCCTGGCAAGCACTATCAACACTCAAGTAGACCTTGTCATCTCCTTCATTCATTTTGATCATGTATTGATTTATTGATTCAACTATTTCAAGTGTTGGGGCTAAAATTGCTCTTTATTGTAGTAAACTATTTTCACATAAATTTGTTACAAATGTAGGGTAAATAGTTTCCACCATTTTTCCTATAGGATTATTCCCTGGGTCAACCAGTAAATCTGATGGAAATTCAATTTCTGCACAATCATCATTTGGATCACCAACCTTTCCATCTCCAATATTTGCTATCCAATTGGTAAAAAGTTGGATTTCTGTGCTTTCACTATCATTTCCATTCAAAACTCTAATGTTCTTGGTAAGTTTCAAGATTTTGCAATTAGACCACAAGTATGAAGAATTAATAGAGGCTAAAACAATATCTTGTCTTGTACCTTTGGAAATTACTAGAAGTATTTGTCCAAAATCACCACCAAAAACAATTGATTCAGGAGTGTTTCGTTATTATATTTACCATTTATTAAAACTTAAGTAGGAGTGTAAATCATAACGAAAAAGTTTCGTCTATATAACTTAAGAACTTCCATAAATAAAGATAATATTTCTATATAATGGATTATTGATAATTAGAAAACGGACTACATTTAGGTAAAACATTACAAATGATACTTGTTGATTATGTCACCGCTAGTTGAACGAAGTACAGACGAAATATTGAAGGAGTTAAGAGCCGGTCTCAATGGGAATGTTGGCTTTGGTTTATGGGCTTGAACTACAACCAAAATACAAATAATATATATATGTATATATATGTACATATATGTATGTATGTATGTATATATATATATACACACACACCGACAAAATATAGGGAGTAATAAATTTAAAAGATAATTGACTAACCATTTGTTAAAAATCACCAGAAGGAGAATAGTCAGAATCTCTTTTCGTGTCCTGACTTGATGTGCAAATCCTTGTTAGAATTCTCCTATCTTAGATTAAATTCATGTATTAGAATATGAAATTTATTATAAATATTTTTTCATTACTCATTGTCCTCAAATTCCGATCCACTACGGAGTATATTTTTTCTGGGGTATAGTTCGTAAAATCAAATTAATAATTACATTTTGAAGCATAATATAATTTTATATAAAAATAAATATTTTGATTATACTCATTATAATATTGGAAGTATAAAAAAGGAATCATATATTTCAACAATTTAAGACTCAATATCATTTAATAAATTACTCCCGTTTTTGGTTTCCAACATTTTGTTCAATTTATTTCCAAATCATCTTAAAAGAAAGAGATGTCAAATTCCAAAACAAAATTATTTTTAATCATGATTAAATTATAATATACTACCTTCGCCCCTAAGTATTTGGCCAGTTTTGACTATATTAGTCAATCATTTTTAAACTTTGACTTATATTTAAGTAAAATGTATATTATATATATTAAATAGACAAAATAATATTTTGAAAATATTTATTATAATAAATATAATAAAACTATATTTTTATTAATATTATTTTTATTTAATTAGAAGTCAAATTTTACCAATTTTGATAAAAAAAATCAAAATGGGCAAATATTCAGTGAAAGAAGTATTAAATAAAAGGAACAGCACAGGCATAAAGAGCCCACAAAATGGACCGGCCCAACATTTTTAATGGCCCAGAAGAAATTTGATATATAACCCCTACTTCTTCATTCCCGTATTCACACACCTGTGTCGCCACTCTCCTACCATCTCTCTCATATATTCACCAAAAAACCATTTTGTTCTCGGCGATGCAGACATGGCTTCATTTCCAATTGTGTTTTGTTCAATATCAAATTTTTGGATTGTTCTTAGCACAGGTTTGATTTAATCTTTTTTTCATTAAAACGAATATAGTTTTAAACTGTGTGATATTTATTTTTTTTCTTCTTCGCATACATATATCTTCCTATTTACATCCTGAGATCTATATATTCTCTAGATCTATAGAGCTTTAAATATTTATTTTTTACATCCTCGAATTAATTTTTTTTATTTTTTTCATCGTTGCCTTTATCCAGATACTTTTCGGGCCAGTAATTTTTTGCCACTATAATTTTTCTGAAGGCAACGAAATATAAAAAAATCTTTCTCACACACGAATTAATAACTCTCCAGATATTTCATACACTCACCAGATAAGAATAGGGATAGTGTAGAGGGTAGTTTCAGGGATTTAGGCTAAGTAAATAGGGTTTATGGGTGTATAGTGTGTAGGAGAGGAAGTGACTGTTTTGGTCTCTACCACTTGGAATGAATAAATGTCATGTGCTCTAGAGACCATGTCCCATGCTTGTATGTAATTAAGTGATTTCATCCTATTTTTGCAGAACTGCTGTACTTTGTATGAAGTTGGGATAATTTGAATAATTAAGAGGCTTTGATAATTGGTCTTATATGTTTTCTCATATATTGTTTACTCAACGGAAGGAAATTAATACGTATCTTGGTGTGGCTGCCTAGCTGTCCAGGAGCAGCCATGGCGTATAAATTAATTTCTTAAAATGATTATATAAGTAGAGCATATCTAAGCCTCTTTATATTAGCTTTGAAATTGATAATTTTTCTTGGCAATACATAATGCTCCTTACAATCCATTAGTCATTATTCAAGTAATGTTCGCTAGCACTGAACATTATTCACATTATTAAGTACTATTTAGGGGTTAAACCAATTTAAGGGCCATTTAGAAAAATGACTTAGGTTTTAGTGCTATTTAATGCAAATATTTCTTATACACATTCTACACTCCTACCTGTTGTCCGTGAGAATTATTTGAGAAGCCATCTCGGGATTGTCTGGAACATTAAACAAAACTACTCTTGATAAATTTGTTTTGACATGATTTATCAAATACGCCATATTTAAAATTCCATTTCCTTTTCATTAAAAAAAATCCATTTTATGAAACATTGCAATTTATGAATAATGAGTGGTAGAATTCGATGGGTTTGATTACCTAATTCAGAGTATGATATCACATTTTTTTCAGTTTCCCGCACAAAAATTATCTGAAATAATTTCACATTTTTATAATCTTTCAAAAAATAATCTCACGCGTACTAATCTCATTTTTCACATGCCTGCAATCGTCGTTAGAAAGTTAATTGTCACTTAAGATTTCTATAGAAAAAACCTATTATGTACAAATCAATAAAAGGTGGGAATAGTTTAGTTGAATTCTTTTTTTACATGTTTTCACTTTTTTTATTTTATATTCTAAAATTACATTTTGCAAAAATATAACAGTACATAGTAATTATAGTTATTGTAATGGTGGAAAAACTATAATGGTGGAACACCAAAAAATAATTCAGAGTCCCGCTTGAGAAAAAAATTACTTTCTACATACAAAAACAACTGTAATGAGCTATATAAAAATTAGTGCCATTTTGGATAAATAAATCCTTGTGCCATTTTCACATTCTTTGTAATGTTAGTTTGGAAAAATATCAGTACTGAATTATCAAAGAAATCACAAGTTTGTAGTCTGGTTAAATCTTTGCTTAATCTGGTTCGGTTTAGTCTACTATATTTTGTATCGGTGAAAATAATTAATTATTTATAAATTATATTTCTTTAATTAATTTTATTATATAAGTTTTGATGTTTATCTTGTATTTAATGTTACGATGAATGTGAAATCAAAATTTATTTAATGTTATATTTTTGTTTTTCATAATAGTTTCTTTTATAATACGCTAATTTAAAATAAGAAATCAATTCCCATAATATCTAATATGAGAGTACTTTTATTATGAAAAGTATGAAAGGATTTAAATATAATATATTAATCTTAGTCACACACTTTTTGGATATCTAAAAAAATTTATACTCTGTATTCCACTCTCTTATCTTTGAAGAAAAAGTGACACGATATTTTTCTTTAGATGAATTTGAAATGTAATTTTTTTTACTTTTTAACATTTTAAAACTATATAAATTAAAATGGTGGAATTTTTATGAATTGGAATGATTATATTTTTTTGAATGATATCAACTCTTTTACAAAGTAGTATTCGTTCATATTATTCCAAACTGGAAGAAGTATATAGTTTACTTTTTTTAATTGTAAAAAAACATGTGACAACTTTAGGATATGTACCCCACTTAAGAATCAGGAAAATAACTTTTGAAAATCATTTGGAAAATCAAAGTCAAATGAAAAATAAGGTTTGGTCATAGACCCTAATTAGCGTAGCGGATTGTGACTTCCGCCCCTTCCTTTAAATAGTAAAGTCATTTTCCGCTTCCTCTTCGCTCAACTTTGTCGCTCATCTTCTTCCTCTCTCAACGTCTTCATCCGATCCAGCCTGTTCGATTTCTCTCTTCTTTGTTCCAGGTATGGCTCATCTTTTCTCCCTCCTTTCTAATTCTCGCGTCTCTAACTCTCTATTCTCTATTCTTCTTTTTTGTTGTTTTTTCAGAAAAAATAAGAATTTTTTATTGATAATTTAATCATCTATACTTTATTTTCTTCACATATTAAGAATCTGGGAAAAATCAAAAATCTTCTCTGAAATTTATTTTGTTAATGTAATTTTGAAAATAATATAGCAATTTTGAAGACAAATATTATTGTTAAAGAAGAGGGTGGAGGTAAGCCATAAGAGCAAACCTGAAATTTCATAGAATATAGGATTTTATATGTATTTAAATTGTTTTGTATTTTTCGGAAGAATCTAATTAATTTTATAGAATATAGGATTTTATGTTTTTGTATAATCCCTCATTGTAAAAGTTGTATTCTATGTATAGGAAATGTGGTGATATTTAATTTGCTGCAAATCTGCAATTGCAATTGTTGCTTCTAGATTAAACAAGTGTAAGATTAATATCAAAAGTAAAGAGCGGGGTTGGCAGTTTGGCAACGACAACGATTGTACTGTGGAAGTGAGGGTGGCAGTGTGGCGGTAGGGGTGATAGTGTAGTGGTGGCGGCGGTGGCAATGTGCGGGTGGGGGGTGGTTGTTTGGGGGACATCGATAGATATGTGGTGGTGGTGACCCCGACAGTGTGGCACTGTGGCAGTGTCATGGCGGAGGTGACAGTGTGGCGAGTGGGGCGACATCAATATGATATGGTATAATGGTGAAGGTGACAGTGTGGCGGGATGCTGGCAGTTTGGGGGCAGGGGCAGAAATGTGGCGGTGGTTCTCATGGCAGTGTGGCGGCGACGGTTGTGCGGCACCAGTGCAACCACAATGGTGGTGACTAATTTACTTTTTCATGGTAAATTTAATTTTGCATTAAAGTTATCACCCGAGCTCTAATCTTCTGTGCTTAGCTTTTCTAATTCCCATTTTTTAATTAAATTAGCCTAAGAAAGAAAAAGATTGGGGAGAAACTTGACAAAAATTTGCGTTTACCTTCAACAGTTGTACGTTGAGGGAAAATTTGGAATATATTATGCTAATTACTCTTATCTTTGTCCGAGTACAGCTCAACTCCCATTTTTTGGCATTTCTAATCTTAATTACTCCTATATTCATCCTTCTCCATGATTAGAAAACCCAACAACTCCACTTACCTTTGTCTTCTCTTATGTGGAGTGCATTTTCTTTTTTGTATTCTCTCCATGATTCATCTTAGATCTAAATTTGGAGAGAACAAGATCCCTTATTTAGGTCCATTCAATTTTTTTCATAGATTTCATTATTGCTAGAGCAATTCATGAACTTTCTAAAATCTCCTATTGCGCTCCTTCCCATATCTCCCTCAAATGGGCTATTCTTTTTACTAAATCCATCTCTTATCTCAAATAATAAGGTGAAGATAACTAGAGATGAGCGAAAAAGCAACCGATGATGATGCCGCTTTCATGCCGAATGCAACGAAGTGGATCTCCTGTGTTGCTTATCACATTAAGTAATTACAGTTGATTTCTGTGAGGATGATGGTGTCTAACTCTGGGTCTGTTAAAGAAAGGGGATGTGATGGCCAACAATTTCGAAGAAAGTGACGGAGGAGTTCAACACATGTGCCTAGGTCGCAAGACATGAGGGTGAAAAGAATTGAACTTCTAGAAATTGACAAAATTGGAAGAAGAAGAAACTAGCGAAGACTGAAGAGCCATCTATTATACAGAGTTGTTGTCGAAGGGAAAGGCTGAAGGGATATCCTAAAGATTAGGTTAAAAGCTCAGGTTGTTGTTGCAGTTGGTTGCATCGCCACTATATATTGAAATATAGAACATTGTGTTTTTAAGTGATTAGAGAGTCTACAACAAGCCAGAGGAGTTCTTCGCGGTGGAAGAAAGGTGAAGACCGATAGAGGGGATTCAGACTTACCGAGAGAAATCTCTGATCTCAAAAAACGCCACTGAATACAAGCTGAATCTTCCTCCTCTTCTTCATGTTTATCTTCTTCATTTGCAATTCATATATTCATCTTAATATGTACTTTTTTGCCAGTATTTTCCAAAGTTTTATCATGTTATCAAAGCAAACATTCTAGATTTAGCCACGATGCTCGACCGTCTTCTCAGAGTGCTCTAAGGGGTTGATGAAGATAAGAATACTTTAGTCAAGGTGAGTTCATCTGAACTTAAGAATGGGGCCCACCTAGATTAATTGTTACACAAGTCAAAACTTACTAGCAAATGGTGATAATATGAAAATGGGTCCATGCCATATTGCAAATTGCTCTTCGAGCTAAGAAAAATTTAGATTCATTGTTGGATCAAGTTCTTTAACAAGAATAGCGTGACAATGTAAATGTCACAGGTGTAAGTTTGGTATTTCCATGTCTATGGAAAAATAGCGTGACAATGAAAAAGTTCATCAATTTCTTAAGCACATTTTCCACACCCCCGTTCTACGTTCTACGACGCCTGGACGTCGTGTCGTTGTCCCCTTCCCTCTTTTGCCAGTAATGTTTGTGATTGCCATGCCATTTAGTTATTCATTTGATTCTTTTAAGACCAATGACTGTATACCTATATCTTTATGATGCAATTATTTTTTATTTATTGTTGGGTTCAATATGTTTTTTTTGTTAAAAAATTTTCATTTGACATTCGCTTTACCAAGAACCATAGTTGTCTTGTGGAAGTGTTTACATTAATTTCTTTTGGATGCCCTACCAATGTTAAACTTAGCGGTTATATTATTAACCATGTGATGGACCCCTATGTCTAGTGTCCATTCGCTCCATACATCTTCACAGTGTATTGATGAACACATACTCATGGCTAAACGAGATGCTCCATCACCTATCATCATCCGTGAGAGGAGGAAATGGGATGTTCAAGCTGGATCTCACAAAGGGTTTTGATAGAATCTCTTGGCCTTACCTTGGAAATGTCCTTGGCAGGTTTGGGTTCTCCAACAAGGCAATCAAGTTTTTCATGGGCAATGTGGAGGCAAAAAAGTGAACAAACTTCTCCATCTTGATTAATGGGCAGTCTTCTGGATTTTTCCCAATGAAATCAGTTGCTTCACGAACAGGGAGCATATGACTAAGACGTTGTTTTATGTTGTTCACCTTATATCTGCGAGACAATTCAATTGATTTATCCCTATCAATCTTTTCCTCACTCTAGAGATAAACAAAGTCTTAAATAACTTGCCATGAATTTATAGTGGCAACAAGTAATGATCAAAATTCTTCGGATCATCACAACCAGTTTCGAGATAAATACTGAAATATTTTCTCAAAACGGATGCATTCAGAAATGGCTATGATTAAAATGGCTAATGATTTTTTGGTTTTGAGTATATTTTCGGGACTTGTTGGTTTCCCCGATGCAGCAGCTAAAACAATATGCCGAACCAAATCTGACACTGCTACAAACTTAATTTTAACCTAAAGAGTTATAACTTCCGGATA